TGCCACAGGCCTGGCGCACAGTGGGCTGCAGGAGGCACAGCAGGGCCCGCAGGCCGAGAGAGGGGATCCCTCCCCTCTCCTCAGCTCTGGAGAGGCCACAGATGGAGTCCTGGGTCCAGTGTTGGGCCTCTACTTACAAAGGAACTGCTGGCAAAGTGGGCCATTGAGAGTCCATTGGAGACCACTGAGATGGCTGTGGGGCCAGGAGCACCTGGTGTCACTTGTTACACATGGCATCAGTCAGCACGCTGCTGATAAAGGCCGTTATAAGTATTTTCTATATAATTTATTGAGAAGATAAACAAAAACTGGAGATACTACTCAATGACTAACCAAAAAGGGTAAACATTTCTAGGAAAATCTGAATTAAATAGCGATGACTATAGGAAAATGCTTCATCAGTGTTGTTTAAGTCTTTAGTCCAAATAAGATATATTGTTTAGCATGATCCTGCAGAGAGACTGTGGTTAGATATTGTATATGGGAGTGGACAATAAATATGGCTTATCACTGTTCCATATACTTATCTGTGTGTACCTATTAACAGCATTTCTTTTACTCCCTGATAGATGTTTTTTTCTCCTCTGTTCTGCTGACTGATAAGGATTTTGCTTTATTCTAATTTTGTGAGAGAAAATAACCTGTAACTTCTGCACAGACTTTCTCTGCTTCTTTTCCTAACATCTCTGAACAGTGAAGGATATCTACATTTGGTCATTAAGATATTTAAATACGGGGCTAACTATATTTACAGACAGTGTTTTAAGAAGAGTGTTTCAAGAAAAGTTATTATTTTCCTTGAATCACTATGGATCTTAAAAAAAAAAAAAAGTAAACAACTAAATCTGACAAAATTATCTGAAAAAGAAAAAGAAAAAAATATCTGCAGTGCTGGATTGGCTTCTTAAACTTGAAAGAGAAATAGAGAAATAAACTGCATCTGCTGTTTATTCCCATAATCAATATATATTCTATCTCCTCAGACGCACTAAATCCTGTCTCAGGCATCTTAGAACCTTCCTCTTCACAGGGTCCTCTTCACTCATGACTCTGTTGCCTGGGGAATCTGAGGGACTTTATGAGTTTTACTGTTTTCCCCATCACCGCTAGCATCCATCCTTCTATTTCACATGCACTGTATGTCATTTTTTTCCTGAGAAATCCGGAATTTAACAGCTATCTCAGAAACCAAATGTCACGTAGATATAGCAAAGAGGAAAACAGAAAAACTTGCATTGCTTACTGTTTTAAATTCACTTTTTTTTTTGGCAAATACAAACATCTTTACATCCATCATTAATAGAGATTCAGATATATCTGAGCTTCAGAATTGGTCTGGCACCTTATATGGCACTGTTATGACACCATAACAGTGAATTTAGAATCACTGAGAAAAAGCCTTGAATATTTCCAAACCTACTCACCTGTGGTAGAAAGCAAATATAAAATTATATTAGTAAAGTATGAAAGGAGAAATATATCAGGGTAAAGATATATATATTTTTTTGCTTCCACAAACATACACAATGAAATTATATGTAGAAAATACTACGTGTCATCAGACAAGGCACCTATATCTTGTAATATTTCCCGATAGGTCTTGGGTGAGTGAATCAGCTTCTCACATAATTAATCAGCTTAGTTCTTCACTGTGAGCAAGCAACACAGAACTATTAAGCTAGATATAAATAGCAATTTTATGAATTTCATTTGACTCTTACTCACTCTTACACATCAAAAGACATATTAAGATGAAAACATAATATTTTTGCTTTCTATTAAGGAATTGAAGGGTAAAGGTTAATCCAGTTCCTAATAAAGCATAATGCATCTGAATTTTGTCATGAAATTAATAGTCAGAATTTTCTCAAAGAAGAGCCTGACCTGAGAAGAAGAAAATTTTGTCTACTTGCCATTTTAAAAAAATTTAGAAATGACCCCTATGTTTTGTAATGCCATAAAGTATTAAATTTGTTCCATGTGATCAAAGCAATGAAAAACAGTTACAGCAAAATATGCAGGTAAATACATTGTTCATTTCAGAAAGTTTCCAGAAAAACAGTGTTGGTTTACGGTGAAGGCTTAAACCTTCACCAATATAGTCTAAATCTGTAGATAGCGCTGCTTTGACCTGTGATGTTGCTCCAGAGATCCCTGAAGGAATCCAAAGGTTCCTTCCAACCTAAATTATACTGTGATTCTGTTTGCAGGTATTCATCTCATCCATTACCAGCATATAAAAACATAACTACCCACAAATATGTATAGCGTCTGTTCCATTTCTCATATTTCTGATAGAACTAATCCATCTTTAATTATAATCTTATTCTTTACAAGCGTTTTTACATTCCATATGTAGTGACCAACAGCTGTTTTTTTTTCAGGTGTCATTAAGAAATGACTCTGTGAGTTGTCTGATGATGAAGTGTAAAATAGGGGATACTGCTTGAAGATCCCTGGAACTGGAAATGCATTGAGCTTTGGGAATCTCTTCCAATTCGTATCTGGCCATTGTGCTGAGTGAAGATGCAACCTGAAGCACTAGATAACAATGTGGAAAGTAATATGCCCAGGGAGGTAATACCTTTATAATTGTATCTATGTTGACATTCCATCCTGTGCAATTATGTTTAATGTTCAGACTCATTATTTTTAGTCATATTAACATCAAAGTTGGCATTCTCCTCAGGTTTATTTTGTTTGTTCTGTAGTTAGACTGTATCTCACACACTACTTACAACAAAGATAATTTCCTTCTCAAGTAGTACAGTACCATTTGCCTATAGAGCTATTGTCTTTACAGTCTTATATAGATTTCACAATGTACTTTTTAGTCTATAACTGGCAAATATATACAGTGAGTGTGTATAGCAAACAAACAAGCAAATATGCACAGTAAACAGCAGTTTGCAAGGGAGTTTAAATACTAAGGCACTTGGAGTGGCAAGTTACTTTACTTTAAACGGATTTGTGGTGTTTTATTCCCTACTATTATCTTATGTTTAGATGCAGCAGTACACCTGGGCACCTTGATGGCACTTGATTTCAGGCTGTGGAGTGAAATCCACACACCTGAGCGAGGTGCGCCTGTTCCTTACATTACACATGACAGAATGAGGCCAAAGTAAATGTTTAATGTATCTGGTAATTGCCACTGGCAATGTGCTCCAAGAGCTGCAGAGGCCAAATAAGATCTCAGCAGACGATGACCAGCATGGGGAGAAGCAGCAAGCACATACTCACTATCAATACTACTGCTAGTTGCATTCTGGCAAATTTCTGCTCTGGAGGAAAATAAGTGGGAGCTGCAAAGCCAGTAGATGTTTCTGGGCCATTTTTCTTTTCAGTTCCTGTCAATATCAGCCTTAATGATCTTGCTGCAATGATCGGTCAGGCCCTTCAGTACTGCTGATAAAACCTTTCCTTACTCGGCATCTCTGAGGACTGGCAGGGCAATGGACAGAGAATGGCCCGCGTGGTTGTCCGTGGCTTCCTGTTGGGAAACTGTATGTGCACGGGTTTCTACAGATCTGAAAGTGTTGTCACCAAGGGAAAACACATTTTTTTCCAGTGGCAATAGCACCTGCCACCAGCTCCACTGTTCAGTGCATCCTCAACAAACTGACCCAAAACAGCAAAAGGGACTTCCTTGCAGCTACCCACAGAGAAGCCTACAGTAATGGACAGTGCTTGTGCGACACCTTTGTGGTGCTGCTAACAGTTCTGCACAGACCTCCATGGACGTGGCCTTCTGTATCCCGAAGCATCTGCCAGTGTGGCACAGCATTCCCAGGGTGGGGAGCTTTCCTGGGCCACAGGGAAAGGGGAGAGCCCTCCTCTCTGGCGACCCTTTTGGTGCTGCCCAATACGTGCGCCCAGGGCAAGCGCAACCTGCCTGTCCTGAGAAGCAGGAGGGCAGCTCCATGGAGCTGGGGACCTCCGGAGGCCCCTTCCGACCCCAACCGTTGATTCTGTGGTAACTCCTCACTCCCGCATGGAAGCACCTGGTTTGCAACTGGCCACTTAAGAGGCTAAAGCCCTTGCAATGACACAAAAGCTGTCTGCCTCTATTCCCCATGAGCTGGGGTAGCCCACACCAAATATGAAACTTATTCAAAGGTTTATATTTCATTATTTTTTTTTTAAATTAATCCAGCCAAGAGCCCTTGGGGAGCAGATATCAAAAGCCTGACTGCACACATCCCTCATCACACAAGGCTGGAAATGTTTCGTACAGCTTTTCCTTGGAGATTGTTAAAGACTTTTTGTTTGATTCCTAGTCACCTATCCTTACGCTTATATTCAGAATATTAAGTTTAAAAAAAACGAGTTTATTTAAACTGTAAAAAAAAAAAAAAAAAAAAAAAAACCCAAAACAAAACAAAACCTCCTCAGGCATCCCTCATGGTTCAGCCTAGGGACAATAACACTACAAGGTCTCCGAGGCCCGGCACGGGTGGACGTGGTGCCAGGGCCAGCCGCGGCGGCAGCGGCCGCGCCGTGACACCTGGTGGCGGCGGCGCAGCACGGCGGGGCCTCCCCACGCGCGGGGCCTCCCAGCCGCCGTGTCCGGCTCTGCGGGCACGGGGCTGCCGGCACCAGCGGCCACGGGCCGGGCCGGGCCGGGCCGGGCCGCAGCTCCCGCCTCCCGCCCCGCTCCACGCTGAGGCGCGGGGACCGCGCGCGCCCCCGCCGCGCGGCCTGGGCCCGGCGCTGTTGCTAAGCGACGCCGGTGGCAACAACCAACCAGGAGCCGGGCTGCACTTCAGGCCACGCCCGCAGTCCCTTTCCCACCTAGCGGCTCGCCCCGCCCCACTGCCGCCGAGCTGCGCCGATTGGCTCGTCCGTCGCATCCCCGCCCCGCTGCGGGTTGCTTCCGCCTTCCGGCGCCGCTTGGGGGTGGGCGGAAGTCTTGTTGTTCTTGCCGCCGGGCGGAAGTCGGGCACGTTGGGCGGCGCGGCGGGCAGGCAGGGCGCAGGCGCGGGCGGGGCGGGACGCGCTGAGTTCCTGCCTGAGGCGGCCGCACGTCCCGGCGCGCGGGCAGGTGGCGCGTCGAAGGTAACGGCCCCCCCCAACGGCCACTTCCAACGGCCACCGGCGCGGGCTCTGCCTGCGGGAGGGACGGAGCGGGGCGGGGCGGGACGCGGCCGCCGCGGCCCGGCCTGGCCGCTGCCCGGGGCGGCGGGGCCGCGCTGCTGCCGCCGCCGCTGCTGACTCACCTCGGCGTTGCGGGGTGCGGGTCCCGCCGTTGGGCCGGGCACTGGGAGCCGCGCAGGGGAGCGAGGCCCTTGCGGGCAGGGTCAGGGACGGGCCCTGCGGCCGCTGCGCGGAGGGAACGGTGCGGGCTCGTTGGTGCGTCCTGCGCCGTGCGCTTCTCATTGACAAAACGCGAGCCTGACCTGCTTCTTCTGGGGGGGTGGGCTATAGTTCTAGCAGAAGAACCCCGCAGATCTACATGTGCCCCGCTGCCCTTTGGAAGAATGACAGATGACAAAGACGTGCTGCGAGATGTGTGGTTTGGACGAATACCCACCTGCTTCACTCTGTACCAGGATGAGATAACTGAAAGGGAAGCTGAACCTTATTATGTAAGTACAGGGAAGGACAGTCCAGTCCTGTCGCCACATTTGTTTTCTGGTTGCTCATCCTGTGCATCGCTGCTTGTCATGAGGTACTTTTTTCCTTCTTATTCCTGGTGCCTTGTGGAAGTAACCCTGATGATGATGCTATATGGTTTGTCTCTCTGCCTTTACTTGAAATTAGATTCTTAAAAGTTTTATGAAAAAGTTAACAATTAATTTAAAGAGGGAGACTCAGCATAATCACCTTGAGAGCTTTGTGTTGGCGGGAAATGAGGGAGCATTTATATTGCCTAGCTACAGAGGTAGCTTTAATCTGGGCTTTGTGCAGTGTTAAACACTAAAGGATCCATCACCATGTGATCTCCCCCTCTGGTTGAGGTGCTAGCACAGTACAGGAGGAATAGGTGTGTGGAACCCCATGCAGCGTTGCATAGGTCTAGCAGAGCCCCCTTAAAGTGAGCTCACCTGGCTCTTTTAAAAGAATGACACCGGGACTAAGCAGCTCGGGTAAAGCACCGTGTTATCTGTGTGCCAGTCAGCCAGCTCTCCCACGCTTGAAGTAGACACATGGAGGCCTCTCCGTGGTGTCTCCTACAGACACTTGTATTTAGAATAAGACTGTGATTAGGAACATCTAGATTGAGATAGCCTCGTTGCTGAACCATTTTTTTTCCCATAGTCCTAAAATTGTTACTATTTAAATTAAAAATGGCATACTGCTAGTCTGTTGGCACCAAAAAAGGTTAGAAATAATATTGGTAGCAGGTAGAGTGCTAGTTGGTTGAGATTGGTCTATGTTTAAAAAACCATAACTGTCACAGATGACATTTTCAGATTGGTGTTCTGCCCAAGGGAAAGAGTTTCAGCTCTTTGGTGTTTGCCTACCTACCATTGAAAGGATTAGTATGTGACAGAATCTCTAATAATGAGTGGTATGGAGCCATTTCAGATTGGGATGCTCTGATTCTTCATACACAATGTTTTGAAGATGATTCCAGCTCCTATTAAATACAGAGTTTTTGTATTTTATAGTCACTTTTGCATATGAACTGATGAGATCCTGGAAGCATTAAAAAAATGTAGTAGCTGGGTAGATTTTTCCACGTAGCGAGTGTATTGCAAGCAATTCCTTAGGCATTTGGTGTCCTTGCACGTCATTTGGCATCTATGGAAAACAGTTGTGGTTATTGTAAGTACTGTAGTGATGCACAATGTGCAAAAGAAGGTATTAAAGTCCTGAACCAAGACCAGGAGTATTGCTGAATCCTGGCAGTTCAGGTCCTGTAGGGCGGCCAGAGCTAGGAGGAGGCAGCCTTGGTGGCCTGCACAGGCTGTTAAAGGAGTTGGTCACAGAAGAGTTTATGGAAAAGCTGTCGTTCTGGAGAGTGACACTCAATTGATACAGCAAAATTATGTTAAAACCAGAAAAGCAATAGAATTGGGTTCTTTCCATACCATTATGGAAAGGGAAGATTGTAGGAAAGTAGGAGAGAGGGGAAGACCCAAGCAGAAATTACTGTTCTGAAGGCTTAAATTGCAAAATGATGCTTATAATGCTGATCAACTGATGAACTGCTGATAGATTTGGTAATGTTCTCAAAAACTAAGAACTACTAAATATATTAGGTTTCAGTTGGCATAAATTAGACATGCGACTTAAAAAGATAGGCAAAAATTCAATGCTGACATCATGTTGGAAGGGTTTAAGTACTACTGTAAACATAAATGGAAGGGCTCTTAGATAGGAGAATGGATGCAGAAGATGCATCCATTTCTTAAGAGATTATTCTTTATATACTCCCCTTATTTAATGTTTGTGAATCTGATATGGGTGCACAGTATTTTTGTTATATGTATATCTAAAGATATACACACACAGGTTTTTTTAATAAATTCCAACATTGTGAAGAAAATATTTTCTGTTAGTGGCCAGCAATAGGACAAGGGGCAATGGGTACAAATTGAAACGCATGAAGTTTCATCTCTATGTGAGGAAGAACTTCTTCCCTGTGAGGGTGCCAGAGCCCTGGCACAGGCTGCCCAGGGAGGCTGTGAAATCTTTCTCTGAAGATCTTCCAAACCCTCCTGGATACCGCCCTGTGCTCTGGGTGTCCCTGCTGGAGCAGGGGGTTGGACTAGGTGATCTCTGGAGGTCCCTTCTCACTTCAACCCTTCTGTGACATTTGTGAAACTATCCAACTTTTATATCAAGATGTATGATTGTTTGGAGGTAATTCTAGCAAAATATGTTAACTTTGGTGCAAAACGTTATTTTACAGGTGGGTTAATGTTTCCTTCCTGGGATACTGAAAGGCTTTGCTCAGTAAAGTTTACAGCCTGGTTGTCTTTTGAGTAAGCATGCAGTGTGGCCATGGACTGCCTGATTCATGCAGTCTGCTTAACCATTCTTAGTGGTGTGAGATTTAAGCCTTAAGCTATTCTGATTCGCTACCACTTTTTTTATAAAGATGGAAAGTATGTTCTTGAAGCACTCCCCTGTAGGAGTTTGAATGTTATCATAATTTGCTGTGGAAAAAAGAAAGATATCACTTAAAGATTTTCCATGATTGCTGCCTGTATTTTGATATGATTTTAAAAAATCAGTAAAACTAGCAACATTAATGTTTTTGGTCTTCAGTCTCACATATTTATGCCTCAGAAGAGTTTTTCGTAGGCAGTTCTTTATGATTCTTTCTGAAACAATTCTTTCTGAAATACTTCTTTCATAGCGTCATCATGCAAGCAGAGATTATTACTACTATGTTGCTTAACTATATACTGTTTTGTTTGTTTTTAACCATGATAGGATCGAACTTTCTGACAAGTTTGCTGGAGGAAAAAAGTTATTTGGCTAACTAGCTAGGTGATGAGTGAAGTCTTAATGTCTCTTTCTTTAGTGATATTCTGTTTTATATAGTGCATGATATTATGTTTCAGTAAATATCCTTGAAAGCTTTAAAAAATGTCTTTTTTCAGGGATTTTTTTTCTTCCTGTTTGTGGTGTGTTGTTGTGTTTTTTTTTTTTTTTTTTTTTTTTTTTTTTTTTTGGGGGGGGGTGGTGAAATGGATAGCATGGAAAGAATCAGGATAGACTTGACTAAGGGCTTGAACTGGCAAATGCAATGCAAAGAAAGCGGGAACCTACAGACATTATGAAATATATTTGGAAATATATTTGGAAACTGAGCTGTAAGCAGTGGGTTGATGGTTTCCCCTTGAAATAAGGGTTAACATACAGTCAGTTAATACAGGTTAATATACAGTCAGTCATTATATTCATTAAGATGTTAGAACATGTTGCTATCTGTTCACAAGAAAAAAAGTTTAAGAATTCCATTCTTTGACCTGCCTAAATACTGAAAGGTGGAAATGAAATTTAATTTCTCTGCTTTCCACTTCACTGTAATAATCAAGAATATACATTCTGACTTTGTTATTTAGTGTACTGGATAATACACTGTGTGTTTCATTGGCCATTAGTCAATTATTAGATAGTTTATTTACTATCTAAAAATGTCTTTCTTCAGTCAGCATTCTATTCTGTTACCTTTTGATTGTGAAAATGAAATTTAACATATTAAATTGTATTTACGTTTTTTTTTTGTATATTTTTTTCAGCTGCTTTTGCCTAGGATAAGCTACTTAACACTGGTGACAGATAAAGTGAAGAAACATTTCCAGAAGGTTATGAGGCAAGAGGAAGTTAGTGAAATATGGTTTGAATATGAAGGTACACCACTGAAATGGTGAGTTGATTTAAGTTTGTGTCTCTACTCAGAATCCTGTAACATATAAAGAATAAACAAGCTGAGCACATTGTTGGTACTCTTCTTAAACTAAGCCCTCTTCTGAGTTTCAAGGATGGCTAAAAGTGAAGAAGGTAAGCAAAGCATGTTACTTAAGACAAGCAGGAAAAGGCCTATGTTGGACGTTTGATTATTCTTGTACATGACATACGGATAAGGCAGAAGTTTTGTTGCTCTTACTGGTTTTATTCTCATCACTGTTGATCACCAAGAATGCCTACATTTCAGCTCTTCTATTCCTGGACATGGAATGTGGCATAACTGCTTCCAGGGAGTGTAAAGGTAGAGGAAACACTGAGATACCAACTCTTTCCATTGCCCTTTTTTTCTCTGCACTTCTGTTAACCTTGGGCATGTGATCTTGTTCCACTTGTTCATATAGTTCGGTGTTAAGCTGTTTTCCATATTTCTTTCTGGAAAGAGGATGTTTTCTTCTCACCACTCCTTTTTGTAGCACCGAGGTTCCTGGAAAGGATGGCAGTGCCCACTTTACTGACGTAAAATCTGAAAAGTCTTTGAAGTTGGTCAGAGGCTTTCACCGCTTTGGGCAGTAGTTGATTGATTCTTGGGGACTGACCATATCTGTTTTTTTTTTTTCTTTTATCCATGAAGTTTGGAGATCAGCAGTAAAATACCTGGTTTCCTAAGTTGTTATGAGACTTTTGATCGGTTGGAGACTTATTTTGTTTGTAGTACAGCATTCTTCATGTTGCTTTTTTGTGTACCAGTAATGTTTCCAGCTGATGGCATAGCCATGTTGCAAAGAGTTGTTTTACCATTTTGTCCCCATTGCCTCTGGTCCTTTCACTGTGATATAGTGGAAGTCTGGCTCTGTCATCATCATGCCCTCCTGTAAGGTACTTCTACACACTGATAAGACCCTTTCTGAGCTTTCTCCTGGTTGTCTCTGCTTCTTTTCATATGACAGATGCTCCAGCCACTTAATCGTTTTATTGAGTACTTGCTCCACTGTGTCCATGTCTCTCTTGCTGGAGAGCCCGGTGCTGGGCACTCCAAATATAGTCTCGCTAGTGCTGAATAGAGAGTGCAACTAGTGGAAACAGCCAACAGATGCAGCATTTGGGTGTGTTGAGATCTCCTGGGATCTTCCGCTAGGATTGTCAGAGGGCTCCTGGGAAGCTGGAGGACTGTCAGGTGCCTGCTGCTTCTAGGGAAGGATAACTGCAGGGAGCTTTGACTTCTAGTGAGCTCTCGCAGCTTCTGAGAGGCTGTTGCCTATTCCTAGTGAAAGGGAACTTCTAGCTTTTTTCCAGTTGACGCTCCATTAAGAGGTTCAAGCAGCCTTTCAGCAGATGCTTGGCAGAGCCCTGGAGTGTAGCTAATGAATGCAGCAGTTTGCACAAAAGCTTGCACAGAAGGACATGTTGGGGGGGGAGGGGAAGAAAGTAAGGGTACTGTATATTTGCTCTGCAGGGGGATGATGTGACTCAGGGCACAATTCCCAGGACCCTCTGGAGAAGCTGCCCTTGGGATATCAAAAGTTCAGAAGATGCAGGTCTTTCTCTCTTGAGTTGGAACAAGTGCCTGGAGTTGGGGGCCTCTCAATGAGGCTGTGGCAAGGAAAAGTGATCCCCTTTCCTGCAGGACGTGTGTGCTCACTGTTGCCAAATCAAAAAGCCAAAGGATCAACAGACTGCAGCATCAGAGACAATGAAAAGATGGACTGATTTTCTTTATTTTCCCTTCCATCTGCAGCTACAGAAGCCTGAACTCTAAACTGTACTAAGAGAGGGAAAGGCAGGGTCTGTGCGTATTGGTTTGGGAAATGGTTGCTCCCAAGATGGTGGAGGCTGGAAGCTTGTGAGTCCTCATGTTCCACCTGTAGATATGCAGTTGCATAGTTGTTTCAGTGCCCTGGCTGCACATAAGGGTCTCTTCCTGGCAAAGCATCAGAGCCAGCTGAGCTTGAACCATATAAGGGCACCAGGAGGAAGTGGCAAGTGAAGTCCAGGGTTTGCACTCTACTTTTCATCTTTATCACTGTCTTCAAGATCCTTCAGCCCTGCTGTTTCATGGAGAAATAGCAGCCAAAGCTGTCACTGACTATCACATCCCCAGCTAGTTTCTTCTTGTTAATGTGTAGCAGATACAATTTTGTGTCAACAGATTGACCCATTCAGTACAGGTATCAAATAATCTTGAGTACTTTTGTGTCTCCATGTTGTTGTTTCAACAGATGTCAGAGGTTAAAGGCCCCAGGGTCTGTGATGCAGGGATTTTTTTGAGCTGTTTAAAGAAGACTTCATCCACTCTGATCAGATAGTTGGTAGCAAACTCCCACCATGATGTTGCCCTTGCTTGTCTCTCCAGTGATCCTGAGCCACAGGGCCTTCACTGGCCTGTTGTCTGTCCCACAGAAGAGCTTCATGTATCTGATCTGCTCCTTCACTTACAGGGAAACCTCTCCCCTTCTCTTCCCAGTCTGTGTTTCCTGAACAACTTGTACGTATCCGTCAGTGCTCCAGTTGTGCAAACAGCCTCGCCACGTCTCAGTTATATCCAGTGTCCAAGTTAGGTAGCTGCATGCTGAGCTCTAGTTCCTCCTATTTCCCAGCCTGTGTGCATTTATGAATTAATGTCTATGCCCTGTTTTATGGATCTGAGGTCTCCCTTGTAACCCTTACTCTTACACTCTGCCCCATGGCCACTACATTCCCACTTGACTGTGGGTTGTTTTTCCCTCCGCTTGACTGTGGGTTGTTATTCCCTCCCCTGCTGTTCTTTGTAATTTAAAGCTCTTTAGGTTGGCCATTATAAAGATGCTTTTACCTCACTTTGTCATGTGGATCCTATCATGCCTGAGGATTGATCCTCAAGGAGGTTTCTATGGCTATTCTGTGGTCACACCAGCAGTGCAAACAGTGTTTGGGCAGCAGGATTGAGCTGAACCATCTCAGCCTCCATGCTCTTGCCTTTTGCTCCAGAGCCATGGAGTTTCCCTCCAACAGTATCATCTGTGGTTCCCTCCAGCCATGTTGTTTGTGTCCATGTGGTTGAGCAATAGAGAGTAATATGAGAGCCAGATGAGCATTGGCAGGCTCTCTATAACACCTCGGCAAGCAGCAAACCTCTCTAGATAGTGAGATTGGCTACCAGTGGGACACCAATCACCTGTGGGACTGAGTCTCCCATCACTATTCCTGCCTGCTTCCTCTTGGTGTGGATATGGGGGTTATGCTGTTCTGATGCTTTATCAGAGCTGCTCTCTCCCTTTCTGCCACGCTGACCTATTTTCAGCTGCAGATCTGCATGTGGAGAAGGAGCCTTCAGCCTTCCTCGTTTTATCTGCTTTTACCCTTGAGTGGACACAGACACTGGCTGCCCCCACTTCTGTGCAGATGGGAGTTCAGAATCTCTGCAAGGTCGGTCTCGGAGACGATGCCATCGATGCCTTTTGTTTTCCTGTAACCACACAGTCTGCCGGCCCCATCCTGCAGCTCCTCAACTTGGCGACGTAGCACCTCCTTTAAGCAAAGATGTCACCTCTATTTGCCCCGGCTCTGGGGAGAAGATACCAGGTGCTCCTGGTAGCCCAAAACCTGGAGAGCTGCGTCCTCCCTATGGAGCCTGGCCCTTGTGGAGCCCTCTGCCCTAGTGCTAGTTTTTCCAGCTGGTGCTGGGGATGGTGCCCTGTGTCTTTTTAACGTGGGCATGGGTGCAACTCCAGCACCATCTGAATGAGAGGTCCCCAGTCAGAAGCAGGTGAAGACAAAAGATTAAAGCACCCTTTGATCAGCGTTAGCTGATAAAAAAAAAAATGTTTAAAACTGTTAGGGTTTTATAGAAGAATCGTGAGAAACAACCAAGATTTCTTTCTTAGTGAATTCTAAAGGGAAAGGTGAACCTATTTTCCAGTGCGTCTGAGATTTCCCTCTATTAGGCTTTTCATAGAAATATTTAAGTGCCCGTATTTTGAACACTTGATACACCGAGTATCCCAACAATTTCCGGAGCTTAGGAGTTTTCTTTTCTCCATCCTGGATTTTTTTGGTTCATGTGCTACACATCCTACTAAGTTACTCCAGGAAATGATTGTGGTATAAAAACAAACTAACAGTAGCTTTTTGTAGTTCTGTTCTGGTTCAAAAGGAAATTGTTAGAAAACTAGTAAGAATTAATTTTCCTTACTTATCCACGTGCCACTTTGAAGAATATTTTAAGTACTTAAATGTTTAAGTTGAGTTTTCCCAGAGCTCTCTTGTACTTTTGCAACTTGTTCTGTGTAATAATAAAAGTTTAAATCACCAGCGGCTGGAAATCAAGGTGATGTTATGCTTCTGTAGGTTGAAGACTTTTCAGAATCGATCATTACCCTAGCATCTTGTGATCTCTCAGGTGCCTTCCTCCCCCCTCCCCCCTTCCCCCCAATACAGTTTTCTACAATTTGTCTGTCCTTGGCTCCAACTTCAGTTAGCTTCAGTTTGTGTTTTTTGGCAATCAAATCATGTTCTTTCAGAATGATATCTTTTAGAGCAAATATTTCCCATAGCTATCAATACTGTTGCCCTGCAATTTTCTCTTTTATTTAGTGCTGGAAAATGTTCGAAGGCTTGTTCTTGGTTTGGGTATTTAAAAAAACAATCTTCTAGTCGCAGTAGGTTGTACAAGATGTCTATACATTTGTTTAATCACAATGAATATTTTTTCCAAGTAGAAGTTCAGAAGCAGTGTTACAGAAGCACTAGAAGCACTACTGGCTTGTAGCACAAAGTGCCTGTGCTCTTAAGAACGGAGTGAGGAAATGTTGCTACTTTCTTCCTTTTTTCTTCTATAGATTGGCAAATTTGTTGCTTCTCAGCTTCCCTCTTTGTGCACTTCTGACTTCTCTGTCCTGATTCAGAAGCAAGATTTTATATGAAAAAAGTACAGAGAACCTTTGCAGGTGTCCTGTGGAATCCTATTGTTTCCAGACTCCTAAAAACTACATACAGTGGTCTCAAAATTGAGTGAAATATAACATCGCATGCTAGCTTTACTTTTGGCTTCTGTAGGCTCTAGATTAAATGCCAGTATGTAAACTGGAATTGGAAATAGGAAGCATCTTACCTGTAAGGATTGCTTTACTTCTATTGTAAACTTTACTTTTGACAGAGGGTCACACTTGTGAGTAGAAAACTGTTTCTGTTGTGATCTATTGTCGTCATTAATGTCATGTTTTGCTTTGGGAATTCCCAAAGTGAATTTTAGACTAGCCTATTCAAAAATACATACCAACACAAGCACAGGAATCTTACTGAAGAATGCCTCGGTACATGAACTTAATTTTGCAGTCTAGATTGGGTAGGAAGTATAGCAGAGGTAGTTTGAGAACTGTGTAAGGTGAGGGTATGTCTTTTTTTTTTTTGTAGCTAAGTGTATGCTGTCTATATCAAACATAACTGAAAGTTATTTGTTGTGTTCCATGTTCATGATATAGCAATTCAACTTGCAAAGGGAGATCTGCCTTCTGCTACTTAGCCCATCTGAGGAAAGTACTCTTTGATGGAACTCTGGCTGAGTCGCTATTGAAAAACTTGAGACCTGACTGGCAGTTAGTTATGAAAAAATCTTAATGGTAAAAATTTCAGCATTTGCAGTGAATCCAGATACTCTTTCTATGTATTTTTTTTCATTCTCTTTGTGGGGAAAACACAGTTCTAGATCCTTTCATGCCATTCTTCCCTGATGATGCTTTTTAAAAGTTAAGATTGCAGTATGTTTGAAGCATCTTTATTTTAGCTTTTGGGTTAGCTCGCCAGGAGAGGGTGCTAAAGCACTAGTTTACATGAAAGTAGCTGGTCAGGGAATTGGCTTGACGACATAGGTGTTTTTACAGCGATATTCTGGCCTCTCAGTTACTGCTCTTCTGCACTTTTGAAGCTTATGTACTTGGCTCTGTGTGCTGTGACCAGTTTCCAGTTAAGTGGTGCGCGCTTATCTCTTTGTAGGATGATGAACTAATAATCTTCCTTTACTTTGTTATATTTCTTAAAGATAAGAGAGCTGAGTCTCGTATGCTGCTTAAAAAGAAATAAACCTTATTTTATCGAAAATACTGTCATTGCCTGCTTGTGAAAAAAAATATGTTAAGTCTCTGTAGAAGTTTTGTGTATGTAATAGATATTGTTCAAGGCTATATTTTCTGCTGAAGTTAAGAGACAAAGCTTCAAGATAGAAGTAGATATTAAGTGTTATACATTCCAAAAAACTATTCCCTCTCAATACAGAATATTGATTTGAAAAGTCCTTCTTGTCCTCTTCCATTCTGCCTAATTTCTTAGTAAAGATAAAGAGTTAGGCTTAGTTTGTCTTCTTTCAGCCCTCCTATAGATAAGTCACTTTGTGATTCTCCTGTTTATTCCCCACCCCTGGTATCAGGCAGGTGGGGTAGGGAAGAAATGTCCAGGGTCAAAGTGAGACAAATCCATGGCTTGTGAATTTTTAAGGTTATAGACTTATGTCAAACCAACTATACTGCCAGTATCAAGGTTTTTAACTCAAAATACTGTTCTGAAGGATTCCACAGCTGTGGCTGACTCTTGCAAAGCTACCAGTGTTTGTGGTGCATAACTTGGAGACCACTGGTCTAGCTATAGAAAGTGGGAATGTTGGGCTTAATTCTGCCAGTAAGTGTAAGTTATACCTGCGCGAATAACTTTCTGAATATGCCAGGATGAATATTAATTGTGTGATGAAAAAGCTGTCTTTAATGCAGCTATGTTAGCTATTGTATATAGATTTAAATGTGCAGCTTTGTAGCTTTTTCTTTTTTTCCGTATTTTAGGCATTACCCAATTGGTTTGCTGTTTGATCTCCATGCATCAAATACAGCCCTTCCTTGGAGCATCACAGTGCATTTCAAGGTAAAGTTGAAGTATCCTTTTGGTTAAGAATAATTGAACATAAGATTATATGAAGTTTGGAAACTAGAAGGAAGTTTCATAGTTCATATTCTTACCTCATAATTAGGCAGGTGATATGACTTTCTGAGGAGCGGGGTGTTCATTCCTCAGGAATCATCTTAATTCTCTCAAGTTGTAGCATTTTTTTCTAGCAGTTTAGTGTGAGATTGTATGTACTTTCAAATGACTTCAATTAACTCGATAATCCTAAAGCCTGGAAATGTTCTACAAGACTATGTCAGTGTAGTTGAGTCAGTAAAGACAAGAAGCTTTCTGTGATGTTTTTCATTCAGTCAACTTAAGATTTAGAAGTGCTCATCCCTTTGTGCATGTTAGTGTGAAAATGGAGTATCACAGAAATCCTTGAAGTTAGGGAATGCTGTTATACTTTGAAGGTGTATATCATGATATCATCATCATATGTGGCTTCCCTTTAGAGAACTGAGTGAAATGAGTTTGGTCTTGTAACAGTTGAGTCACAAAGGAGACAGTACTTTGATTATACATCGTAAAGCTGCTAGGTATAACTTGATAGTGCTCCTGATCTTTGCTCACAAGGTTTGTGTAGCATTAGCTCTGATGCAGGATTCCTTTATACTGTGCAGTGAGTGGAGAAGGTAGCCCTAGGTGTGTTTTGGAAATTAGAAAAAAGCAAACAAACAAACAAACAAAAAAACCCACATGGATTCAGCTTGTGATTTTGAACTGTGAAACTTTAATTTCTCAATTGTGCTGTAGTGATTTAAAGGAAACAATACATTTGGAAAACTGATCCTAAGGAAAGCACTAGGTCAGTAGGTGGTCTCCAGTGTGTGAGATCTGGGATGAAATGAAAAACATCCTGGGAGGCAGTTCTCATTCAGACAACTCTCTTTTGAAGATATTTAAGAAAAGATCTTGCTAATAGGAGTATCCATCCTGCTTAATCTCTTCTGTTTGGGGAATAATTTAAATATTAAAGTAAGTTCCTATACTTTTTAAGGTGAAACAAAACTGAAATCTCTCAATTTTGGAGAGACTTCTTCGCGTTTTAGTTCTTTATAGTTGAATAGTTCAGATGTAGGGTTGCTGCTTGTTTTTTTAATTTGTGTGTAATTGATCTTCAAAGGGAAATAATTCTTACTTAGTTTAATTGAACAGTATTAGATTTTTTTAAATCTAAACTTTAACTTTTTAAAAATCTTTAACTTTTGCTGTCAGAGATTTGTCCTTTTGATGAAAGCATCGTGCCAGTAAGAAAACATCAGTAGAGAGCATTGTTTTAATTTTCCTCTTGATTTTTCTTTGTCTAAAGTCTATTTAGCTTTGAAGCTAAATATTTGAAACATTTATTTTTTAATTTCTGTTCAGCACTAATTGGAGAATTGAAAAATTTGTAATTTTCTTCATGTTGAGTGCTATGGGGTGAATCAGGTATAATACATTAAGGGCTTAAGCTGTTCCTCCACTAAAGCCCTTACCTGGCCTGCCCTGCCACAGGCAATTAGATGAAACAGAGGAGGAGCCCCCAAAGAAAAGATCACTGGTGGTAACTAAATACAAATATGTGGATGCTTCCCGTGCCTTAGGAGCTCCCTAAGTGCTAAATTGCTGGGTGGAGAGAAGGAGTATTGTAAAAATGACATTTATACAGCTATCTGGCACACTCAAGCATACAGTTTTGGACTTGTGGTCTGATTCTTAGAGTATTGAACAATTAAGAATATGATCTTCCACAAACTGTTTAAGACTTCATGTCTCTGGTTGTGAAATATTTGTGATTTTTTTTTGGCTTCCATTCTTTTCCCTCTGCTAAAACTGGAACTTTATTGTTTTTCTGTTTCTGAACCCTGCCACTAAGAAAAGAATTTTGAATTCTATCTTGAAAGTCTGAAGAATGGCATATTTAAAAATGAATACAAAATATTAATTTGAGAACGAAAAGTTTAAGTATTAAAATCGGAGTTAAGTTCTGCTACAGGGCTTATGTTCGGAGTTTTTTTGCATATCATATGAATGGAAGCTTCTATTCTGGATTCTGCTTTTGTCCTCAGCTGTGGAATCTAAATTTCTTGCCATATTTTAGCTTTGTAACGTTAAATGTTAGAGCATTATTGCAGGTAGGCGGGTGTTTGGGGGAGAGAGTGCAATCCTGCTGCCCAAAAATGGATTCGTGAATTACCCTTTAGAGATACCCTTCTAGGACATCGATTATATCAGTGCAGAATGTTGTGTCTGTTTTTCACTCATAGTTCCTTGTAGGTTAACTTGTTTTATGCCTTCTGTAGACATGGCAGTTTTATCTTCTAAGGTATCACATTTGCTCATGTTTTTTTAGCTTCTACTTATGTTACCAGATAGAAAGAAGTCATTGTTTTTTCTCAAAGCAGACAGCATTGAGAGCATAGGAATATTTTTGAGTTTCCCCTTTGTCTTCCCTTAAAAGATGGGAAAATGAAACATCCCACACCTTTGAACTAATATGACTGGATTCTTTCCTCCAGCTTGGATAGCTCTGAGAAGGTTTAAGTATCTTAACTTTATTCTACAGACCGTGATGTGCAGGTTTTTCAAACACATCCCCAAAGAGTGACATTTCCTGTTACTTTTAAGCTCATAGTATAAAAATCAGTATGCAGATGCTTAACTTTTTTATTATTTTTTAAAGTGCCATGTCCAAAAACAAAGACCATGAAGTTCAATATGTAAATATGACTGTGACTAACAGTTACAGAAACTCTGTTTTCTCAAATTTGACTTAAACTTCAGGTTTGGACTGTAAAAGTCAGTTTTTAGGCTGCTAAGGGAAGATAGCGTTTTTTTCAGACTTAGTGATCCTACTAGGATATTATCTGTTAACTGCTGTAAAAGCTTTTGAAAATATACTCATTATGTAGGTTGTTTGATGTACTTATATTTCTAAGATGTTTTTGACAGTACCTGCAAAAAAAAGCTGACTTATAATGGCTTAGTTTTAGGAGTCTTGTGGTTTTCAACATAGTCATAAGCAGCTGTGAAAACAGCTTAGTAAGAGAGAGATCTCCATTAAAATCCAGAGAGAAATTAAAAAATGCCCTTTTTCTAGAACTTTAAAAATTAAATTTGATTTTGTGAGAGCGATTGCTTATACTGTGAAATGCTAAATGATACTAAGAGTTGATTAAAAAAAGAGAGAAAGCCTAGCTGCAAGTCCATACAGCAATGAGCTTTTATGTAATTTCTGGAGCATTTTTTTTGTACCAAAATAAGACTTACTGCTGTAGTACCTTAAGCAACGATTTGGCAAAGACAGTGGTCATTTACCAAGGTTGCTTTGTTTTTCTCCTCACAAGTTGTGAACTGAACATCTGTAATGTTTGAAGTGCAGTGCACCACCTCTGAGGAGATAAAATGGATGAGGAATCAGGTCATACCACCTGACCCTGGGACATGTATTAGATAAAGAATTGATAAGGATTTCGAGTATCTTTGAGGAAAGGTGTTTTTAAGTGACATATTTGCTATATTTCATAGTGGAATATGTGGAAGGTATTTGAAGGAAACGTTTTTAAAGGCATATATAGAAATGGGCACTAAATTTCCATTAAAGGTCAGCAGGAGTTCAGCACTTACTACATCTCTCTCTTTCCCAGTTCAGTGCCAGTGAACTGAAGATGTACCTGAAAACTTGCTGAAGTTATCTCTGTTTCCTGAATCTTGGATGTAAGGGCTTGTAGGCATCCTTTGACATATTTAAATGTATTTATTGACTTAGAGTAATTTCATTTTATTTACAGAAAGTTAATTTAATGTTTCTTTGGCATGTTTCTCACTGCAAAACCTTTATTTTCAACATAGTGATGGGTTAGAGGGTGACCTTCTTTGAGTGAAAGAATCCAGTGTGCTTCTATTGTACAATTATAAACCACATTAAAGTTATTATCTATTCTTGATTTTTGGAAGAGTGTGATGCATTTATTTTCCTTGGTCTGTTTTTTTTTGTAGAATTTTCCAGAAAAGGATCTTCTACACTGCCATTCTAAGGATGTAATTGAAGCTCATTTTATGGCTTGCATAAAAGAAGCAGATGCTTTAAAGCACAAAAGTCAAGTCATCAATGAGATGCAAAAAAAGGATCATAAACAGCTGTGGATGGGGTTACAGAATGGTAAATACAGTGCATCAAATATTAGTTACATTTAGATTTAGTGTGTTAATAGCTAATTTCTTCACATTTCAGTCATGATATAGGATATCAAAATATAAATTTTCTGCAAGATTTTAGTTTAATGCAGTGGAAAATACATGCTTGGAAATTTTGATTTGTATTTATTTTGCAGTAATCCAGTTGTAGCTTGAGGTATCTGAGGAACTGATTTAGGTTGTGATTCTGTTTTTTTTTTATTAAATAAATAAATAATGTCTAGTATGCTTTTGTGCACCTGATAGTTGCTCTGTTGAAGGCAGCTGCAGGGTGTAAATGGTATTGAGTATGAATCATCTTGGACTCTATTTAAAGAAAAAAAAAGTTGGCTCCTCTAGTTTATATTTTAGGAATGTCACTGATGGACTAAATAGGTAAATTTACCTCCCTTACCCAGCAGTGCATTTTGTGATTTTTTATGAATTTTTTCTAACACAAAAAGACCTCCAGCTTGAGACTTGGCTACGTGAGTTGTATGACAAAAGGTTCTTTACTGAACCAGAAAATATGGAAACTCTTAAGGAGAACTTCTACATAAAGTAAGGGGACAGGTGTGCAGTCTGTTCTTTCTGTACTCATCTTAAGCTCTTCTTGTTGATCTCTTATCTAGGAGTATCTTTAGTTGTAGGCAAAACAGAACTGCACTGTGCTGCTTTATGATGTTAAGATCAGAGGTTGCCTGGCAAGGTTGATTTCTCAAAGGTTTCAGTGTATTTAATGAGAAATGGCACCTGTGGAATCTGACACCTAAACGAGAAGTTTAAACAATCTTTTGAATACTTTCAAATGCTAATTTTAATTTCTCAACTCTTCATAAAAGAGAAACAAGAAAAGCTTGTGAAACCAAGAAAATACTTTTTAAGCATATTGTATCTTTCGGTGTGTTTTTATAGGCTTTCGTTTGAGATGTAAGAATTTTTAACCTCTTTGTGAAACAGAGTGAATGACCACAAAAAAAGAAAAGAAAGTAGCATTTGTGATAACTGTCTTGTAAGCAGTGATACATCTACAAGCTTTTTTCTCTTTGAAATTTCAAGCAATTTTCTTCAGTTCTTAAATGGAGCAGTGTTTTTGTTTAGTGTCTGTGAACAATGTATATTGGGTAGATTAGTATACAACTTATGTTTCTGAAAGAAATGCAATCTTGTTTGGAAAAATTTAAGCAACTGCAAATATAATTTGGGATAAATGTTTCTACTGAACAGGAAAGCAGCATGAGAAACTTTCCTTTTGCTGTGTAGCACAGATGGTTTTTAGAGGGTGAGTTGTAGTGAATTCACAGCAAAACCTTGGACTGGGAACAACTGATGACTATTCACAGTAGTCTCTATATCCCTCCCACTCTTTCTGGTTTTGTGTTAAGCTGCCAAATTGGGAAGGAAGACATGCAATTTTCTATTGCATGTACAGTGGTTTTATTTATTAGTCTTCAGGCTTCAGTTGGACAGTTTTTAGTTGATAGTTATTAACTTGAGTGCCCGTTTGGACAGGTGCCTCTGTGCTGCCCTGCTTTTGCCCAGGATTATGGATCTTCAAATGTGGTAGGGAGGAGAAGCTGTGGGCAAACCCAGGGGCAGGCTCTGTAGCTCTGCTGGCCTTTGATCCTTTATAGCCATTATTAAAATTCTTTCATTGGAATCAGTGGGAAATATTCCTATTGCTCTTGTAATGCTATGGCCATTTTTATGGATAAAGAAAAATGAAGTGTGCACTATTTTGTTTGCTTTTTGTGTGGTGTGGGGGGGGGAAATACGGGCTTTCTGATATGAGATGAACTGTGGGCGTAAGATTATTTAAGGGCAAACAAATTGAAGCTTAGCATTTTTTAAAAAGGGAGATGTGTTTTTTTTTCATGGTTCGAGGACTTAATATTTATAACTTAAATAGTAATTCCGATTAAAGAAAAGCTTTTAGATTCAACATAGATGCTTTTCATCAGATGTGGGGAGGTGTAAGGAGCCGTATTGCTGAAATTTTCACATGCATCCTCTATAACTGGTAAAGACCAGAATCAATGTTTCTGGTAGGGAAATAATAAAAACTCATGACTGAATAATGCATTTATATTCTATAAAGACTAAACTTTGGGGTGCTGAGATGGGGAGCTTAGCCCCGGAGATGAGGTGAAACTCTCAGGAGTGATTTTCTCTTTGACTTACACTAGCAAGATGTAATGAGCCTGCTGCTCAATCACTTTTTTTTTTACACAGCCTGTGGGTTATGTGTGTGAAAAGTGGATTGCAATATTTTGTTTGGTCATCAACACTTTCTCTGAAGTTAAAGCCACAGTACCTGCAGAGATGCCCTGCTTTTAAAGCATACAGAAAGCTCAATGGGAGTAGTAGAAGTGTGTGTTTTTACCTACACGCAACAGAAAGAAGGCATCCCAGCTTGGTGATGTTCTTCCCCTGAACCTTTTCTAGATAAATGGATTCTTAAATTGAGATGGTATTTAGGAAATAGTGTGTTTAAAGGGAAACTTTTGTATGTACGTTTAATAAAAAAACAGAAAGAATTGCACAGGTGTTGGTAAGATCCAGCCTTTTTGAGTGTTGCTACTTTGCTTCAGTACCACTTCAGTACCTTAGTGAAACAGTTACTAGCCTCCTACCTCTTTGTACACAATAGTTCACCTCCTCATCTAAAGACAACCTAAAATGACTAGTGAACTTGTTTGCCCTCTTTAATGGTTGATTTATATGCTCTACCTATGTGATCTGGCAAAACAGGCAAGTAACTTGAATGTCTAATAAAGAAAACTTTTTTTCTATCTGTAGATTGTACCAATGTGTAGAACAGAAAAGAAAAAAGAGATCTTAAGTCTTAAAGATGCTGTACAAATATTCTAAGCAATGCTATATTAGCAAACAAGGGTCAGACATGTCAGTAAAGTTTACTCAGGGATTAAGAAAGCCTCCTTTCCATCATTAACTTGCAGCTCTGGGTCCTGTGCAGTATGGTTCCAAATGTTGATACAGCCTGGTTATGAATTGCATGATAAAGTGCACAATAAATTGCACCCAGAGCAAGTTATGAATAAAAGAAAAAAAAAAAAAAAGGGAGAGTAGCTGATGCAGGTTTGCCATTCAGAGAGTCCTTGGAAGCTGTGGGAACAGGAGCCTCCCCAAGTTGCTTGGCCTGGGTGCCGAGGCCTGTACCAAGGACGGCGAGAACCTTTACCTCAGTGCAGCGGCCTGGGAACCGCCTGGGAGGCGCCTTTGTGGAAATGAGACTGGCTGGGCCTCAGGCTCAATAAAATGCAGCCACGTTTTCCTGCAGAAATGAAGGCACCGAGCTGCTTTAGTCACTGCCTCTGCCAGAATGTAGGCAGCTGGCTGAGGGGAAATGACTCTGCTTTAGCTCTACTCAGTACTGGCAAACTGCATTAGGGATACTGTGCTTTGGGCTCCTAGGATGGAGGAATGTTGATTGAGAGAGAGTCTAGCAGAAGGCTACCAGAATGGTTAGAGGTTGGAGCTTATGATAGACAAGAAGAAGTTGTGTGAAGTAAATTTGTAAGCCTGAGAGTCTAAAGATGAAGAGCAGTTTTTCACTAGGTCAAGGAAAGGATTATAGACCGGACGAGTTTTTGGGCACAGCTCTGTTGGCTGTGCAGCCTGACAAGCACAAAAGTCAGTGGATACAACCCCCAACAAGAGTGATTCTGATGGGCCTTCAAGTGAGGGCAAGTCTGCAGTGCAGGTGGCCAGCTGTGAGCAGCTGTTCAGAGCTCTCCAGCCTTGGTCAAGGCCAAAACTTGCTGGACAGGGTCTGGGGCCAGCTGGTTCTGCTCCTCTTCTGAGCAGGAGTCCTGGTTAAATGGCCTCCAAGGGGCCATTTGTGGTTATTGGATAGTCAGGAACCGCAGAATAGGCAAAAAGAGTGCCCAAGAACTGGACACATTTTTATGGAAAATGCATTGAGTGAAAGGTTAAATTTTATTTCAAGCATTTTAAATTTTTTACAGCTGTGGTTTTAAGAAGAAACTAGAAATTGTATAGGAAAAATACATGGATATATACTACTGAAGAAATAGGTGTAGCCCTCAGGGTTTTTTTGATTTTTAAAAAATTATAGGAAGACAAAAGCCTTGAATTAACATTTCCTTTTTGAAGTTAAATAATATTTTTTCCTGTTACAATATTTTTCCTGTTTTTTAAACCCTCTCCACAGTTGTGTGGGTTTTTTTTTTTTTTTTTTTTTTTAAGTTTGTGGAGTTCTGGAGTCAGCGCTTATATTAACATCAACTACAATTGAAAGGCAGAATAACTCTTTACTTTTAACATCTTTCTATTGATAAAATTCAAAGATTATTAGCACTTTTGACTGCTGTTTTGCCATGGGAATTCCATTTTAACTGAGTATTTTCCATGGCCACTGTGCCTTCCTGCAAGTCACTTGTAGATTCAATTTCTCATTCAGTGAAAATTGCTTTTTTTTTCTTTTTCTTTTTTTAATTTTTTTTCTTCTTAAGTGCTGGCTTAAAGCTACACCGTGTTAACATGCATGTTGTTTACAGGCTCTCAGGCAGTGCTGTTTGTTGGTGGCCCTTCTTGGTTATCATTTTTCTGAACAGTCAGGTGAATGGAGGAGACCCATCTTTAGCAGCAAGACCCATGTGAAATTTCACATTGTTTATTTGAAGCATGGGAACACTTGTGTTTCAGTGAATGCTTATAACCCTCTAACACAAATGAAACTACTTGCTCAGGTTGCCTGAACATCAACTGTCCTGAGATCTCAGCCTGAGAAAGAAACCCCACCTTGAAAATTTCCATCTGGCCTAAGCCCTAGTTACAAATACTTAAGCTTAGAATTTCAAGAGTTAATGTCCATAAAAAACAACAGAGATAGTCCTAGCTGTACCTGGAGCTGATAATATCTTTTAAATGTAACTGCTATAAACATACTTGGATATATTTCAGTGGCATTTAAGTTATATTCTATGTTACCTGATGAATCTTTAGTCTTGGCATTCTCAATGCCTTTTGCTATTAACAGCTTTTTTGAGACTTTTAAAGATGATTTTAGAGTGAAGGATTGCAGTAAATATTCATAATGTGGCTTGCTGTGTTTGTAAATTCATGTTTGGAGTTCAATTGGTTCACTAATTTGTATACTGTATATTTGTATACATCTGTTCTCTTGAATGGCATTAAATTCTTATAGTCATGCCACCTCTTTCTTAACATTTCTGTATGTGCAAATGCATATTCTCATAACAGAGATTCTATACATTCATATCTATTCTCTAATACAGTAGGCTAGTGTCTGGTCTTGAGACACACAGTGACTAAAATGCTGACATGAATATTTATTAAAAGTATTGCTGGTTTAGCTGATGCGTTTTTAGATGGATCTCTTCCATTATTTGACTGTTAACTTTTTAATTACTAACATAAAATAAGGAGGAAACTTTTGTATACCACTTTCTCTAAAGTGATAAATGATGTCAAAGGTAGATCGCTTTCGTCTCATTTTAGAAATACAATGAGTAATCACTTGACATTTTAATGTTGTCACTAATTTTAGGCCCTGTTTATTGCCATTAATTTAAACATTGTTTTTCAGCTATGAACATCTGCCTTTTTGCAAGTGCTTGGCTTTTTTTTGCTAATACAGAAACTTTTTAACACATTGGCCAAGCACTTTCATAAAAACAGGCTGGATCATGGAAAACAATAGTAAACAGATTTGACTGTTATGGGAGTCTAGGTATCATGCAGACTGCGTAACCTTTTCTGGAGGGAGGGAGATGAGTGTGTAAAGTGTTTTTGCTGGTAAGTAGAGGACTCATCCTTGTTTACCAGCTTGCAGAAAAGGAGTTTTGTTTTGATTGTCGAACTTTCGACCAGCAGCTTGGTGGCTCTGAGACCTGTCTAGCAAAAGCACCAGCAAGATCTTAGTGCTTCTGATAGTGGCTTCCTTAAATGTGCTCTGTCTAAAGGGGAGGTACTGACAGACAAAAATTGAAAATTGGAGAACATCGAATGCTTTCACTTGTGGGTATTTTTCTTCTATCTTTGATTTTTAAGGGTTCTGCTAAAGCCACCATTTATGGATTGTGTATTTTGGGGGCTCATAGTCCTGTCATTCAGCTGATGGATCCAGTGCTAATGAAAGCAGTTGCTCGCTTGTATGTCTCTATATGAAACTAAGTAGCTTTTTCATGATATGTTCTTTAAAACTGTACAATTAACTCTTTATCCTGTCTCTTAGTTTTCATCTTCCTGTAATAAAAGTATAGAAACACAGTAATCTAAGGTTATGAAGATCAGTTAGCTTAGATATCTCAGTCAGGGCTTGGAAATATGCACACTGGAGGCATGTCTTAAGATGTCAGACTCCGTTGTGTCTAGCTAAGTATCATGAAATTATTCACTTTTCTGGATATCAGGTGGATTGACAAAACCTGTTTGTAGCAAGTTTGCCATTGCACTGTCACACTTTCTGCTGTCATATTTAGAAACTACAAAAATTACTAGAAATGTAGCATATTTAGCAAAAGGAGAGCTTGTCTTTAATGTTGTCTAAATGTTCAGAGAAGAATTTGAGAAATATAAACTCTTAAAATTACCAGCAATTGTTTTGGGGAGTAGAAGAGAGAAGTGCTAGTGGACGCCTGAATTATTAACACTTTTGTGTTAGAGGAAGTAGGAGATTAAATAGTAGATAAACCTCAGTATAATGTAGAAAGCTTTTTTGGAGGGAGGGGAAAATGTGATTGTGGTGTTAAATGCAAATACAGATTTAAACCAGTAGTCTGAAGAGGGAGAATCTAAATCCCAAAATTCAGCTTTACATTAAATTTTCTTTCTCAGGCTTAGAATCGGAAAGGATAGAGAGCACTCCTGGGATGATGCGCTTAGGTAGTGGTAATAGAGAGCAGATTACATTTACTTAATAACTTCCTTCAAAATAATCCATCTGCACCCATATTTACTCATTGAACTTGAACTGCTGTGAATCAGCTTTTAGGATCTTCTAACATCCTTAATTTTAGGCAGATGTTTCTTGTATTTATGCCTCATCTTTCACATGATTTCAGGGAGGTATGGTAGCTAGAATGAAAAACGGAGTTGAGCTGCCTGCGGATGACCTGAGTCTAATTTTTTTGTCCTGCAAGGATTCACTCGTTTGCCCTAGATGCCGTAAGGAGCCGTGCGCTGCTTGCCATAAGTCTGTTACTCGTTCAGAATTTCTTGTCCCGCTGATGTAAAACATGTGTTGCTCATCTCCGTTGGATTTTGAAAACACTAAGTTGTCTACTCGACTTTCCTAGGTACTATAATTTGAGCTTTAAACAAATAAATGAAATTTACGTTTGTTTTATTTTTGTTCAGGTAGGGTGTCTCCAACTCTGTGGGGTTTTTGTTCGAGTGCTCTGAGGCTTGTTAGCTTAGATAGGTCTTGGTTGTTTGATTTTTGTGTATCACCGTAATTAATCATTTTACAGACTAGGTTTACAGTAGAGACCGTAGTAGTAAGTGCACTATAAATAGGTTAAAGCCTGTGCACACAACTCCTTGCAAAAGCTGTGGGGTCTTTGAGCAGTGTCCCCAGATGTGAGGCAGCTACACCGAATCTTTACCCTCCCAGTGGCGGAGTGCAGAGCGCTAAAGAGCCCAGGAAGCTCTTTTTTATCAGGCCTTATCAAAGCAAATACGTGACTTGCCGGTCCGGGCGTCCCCAAAGGGCCTTGCTGGGGTGCCAAGAGCTTGCAGAGCCCCGCGGTCCCCGGGCAGGTGCCTGGGCCGGGGTGCTGACTGCGGGGCAGATAAGCGCTTGGCAAGAGCTGCTTGCTGCTAGTCAGGAAGCAAGCGGGGCGAAAGACCTGCAGATAAGCATCAGGAAATGCTTCTGCGGAGTGCCTGGCAGTACTTTGTTTATTCTTTCTTGGAAATTCCTGCCTTGTCATAATCATTCAGGAAAAGCACTATTATTTCAAACTCTGCAATATGCATTAGCTTCTGTGCTTAGTTGCTGACTGGCAACTGTGCTGTGAGTGAGAGATGCCAATCTCGGGTTTTCTGCAGTTGCTGGAGGCTGCAAGAGCCCGTTGGTGGCACAAGTTGCTGAATGGGACCCTGGTAAGAGAGCTGAGCCCTTTTGTTGTGTGGATGGACGCTGCTCTGAGGACAGCGATGGTCGCACACTGTGCGCTCCTTTTGCAGCACCATCCCTTGCCTTCCGTATCATGAAATGTTAGGGCCCACATGGAGACTTGTCCTTTGTTCCTCCTCATATAGAGCTGCCTTCTCCCGCAGGATTAGCGGTAGCTCTGTTCATCTTAAGATTTCAGCCTAATTCTTTTTTCTGTCACTTCTGCTCATGGTTTGCTCGCCTGATTTGAGTAATCGATTTGCATCTTTGGAGGCATGTACTACTCTAGACCTGTGCTGCTGTTAATGTGTTTTACAGGCTTTACTTGTAATATATTATTCTTGTAAGGTCTGTGCAAGATAGCTCGAGACAGCACATAATTTTATTTTCTTGAATGAAGTTACCTGCATAGTTTTAACAAAAATGTTTCAAGCATAGCAAGATTTTATTTTCAGATTGTGCCATCAAACTGGCAATACACTTTCTAATTTTATTGTATAGCATTGTAGATTATCTGAAAACTTACACATTTGAATATGACCCTTTCCTCTTCCCCTCTCCTCCCTGGCAAAAAAAAAAAAAATGTTTTTAGTGCTTCTTATTTTCTCTAGACTTTATATCTACTGGTTACCTATAGCTAAAAACAACTAGGTCTTTTAACTACATGCACAACTGGGTACCAGTAGCAGGAGAGAGTGTGCAAACAGGAGCTGTTAATTGAAGTGGTTCAGTACCTAATGCACAGCACTGTGTTTCTCTAGCAATACAAGAAGCAATATAAAATCATGCTGCTTTCCCTTTCAGTTCAATAATTTGCCATATCACTGTTTTCATAGCAGAGGACAGATGATTATAGATCTCTTTTTAGCTAAAGAAGAATATATGTCATTTATATTAACAAAATCCACTTTTACCTTCACAGATAAATTTGAGCAATTTTGGGCCATAAATCGAAAACTCATGGAGTATCCTCCAGAAGATAGTGGATTTCGGTTCATCCCATTTAGAATTTATCAGGTAGGAGAAAATGAAAGAAAAATTTTTACCAAACCCTCTCAAGAAGCCATGTATCGATCTCAATGGTGTGGAATCAAATATCCCTGTTGACTTTTTAATGTTATGATAAAGCTTGGTTTGTACACCGCTCTTTTTACCTGGGCCCCTGAGTTGGATGACTTTAGTGAAGACTCGATGGGCTGTATTTATCCTGCTAAGTATTTGCCTTGTGTAGTAAGGGTGTGATAGTGTGCAGGGGATGGTCTAGATGCTTTAGTTTGGGAGGGAGGGGGTGCAAATTTCGTTATTTACCTGATAAATGTGAATACTTCTTTGAAGGCAAAATGGCCTCTAAAAGAGCAAAGTAAAACCATTTGGAAACACCACTTTTCTCTCAGCACTGATACAGGCTTCTTCTCTTGAAAGAGAAAGTTAAAGCTTGGTTTCCAACCTCTATCTTCTCTTATCTTTTTGTTCTAGCCATCTACATTTATTTTCTACACTTCTAGAAATGTTTCAAGCTTAAAAAAATAGTGTGTGTATATGTGACATTTTCTGTATATTCTCAGTGTGAGTGTTTTGCACTTACATGTTTGAAAAAGTTCCAACATAAGGTAAAAATGAAACCGATATGTTTAGTGATCAAAGCTTAGCAACTAGTCAGCGAAATAAAATGTATCTTGTGATGTGTTTAAAAATAAACAAAAAGTAACCCCCCCCAAAAGTTGCATTTTCTTCAGGGTATCTATTAATAAATGGTGGATGTCTGAGAATTTAAATGGTACCTGGGCTTCATTTACTTACACAAAACAGATGTAGAAAACTCTCAAATTGCACAGATTATTTGCATATTTTTTGACTTGTATTGGTTGTTCTAAATGTATGATAGTTTCACCATTGTTTGCTACTTACATTTTATTAGAAATAATACCTTTGAAAAAAAGTTGGATTTACAGGACTTACACTTCTTGTAGACTTGCAAAGTTAATGAGCGACCAATAAAAAATAGTTTAATTTTGCACTAGTAGTTGCCTTTTATTTCCAACCCCTTAAGCATTTTGAATTGGGATGAAGGTTTGAGTTAAGCATACGTAAAATTTATACAGAATTAATGTAGTCTGTCATTAATTAAACACTCGTGCTCTGCTAGGTCTTTAAGATTAGAATGTTTACATCTATGTACATTTATCTTTTACACTTGTCACTAAAGAAAAAGCTTTTTATAGTAATGAATATTCTGATATTACTTTATAACAGATTTTAATGACTCATTGAAATAGATAAACCTACATGATCTTGTTATGGGTCCAAAGTAGTTTTTCATGCTAGATATGACAGATTCACTGTCATAATGAAACCTTAGATTGAGAACGGAAGTCAGTTATTTTGTCAGATCACAGCCGGTGGCAAGGTTTGTATGGCTGTCAGAAACTATATAGCAGAGAAAGGAGTTCACCCACAGTATTTTATTTGGTTGGTAACTAAGTTATTCTTTGGTGTCTCTTTTTCAAAAATTTTGTTTGTTTTAGAAAATAATAACAGGACAATAATATCTGTCCCTTTATATATACTAGTAGTACTAGATAGTAAATATCTTTGTCACCTTTCCTGTGGAGAAATGCTTGAGTGTAGTCTAAACACCAAATTAACAACAAATTAAGACTAGAAACACAAGTGAAGACAATACTGAGACAGCCCTTTAGAGGGCTGGTGATCATCATTTTCAGTAATTTTTTTTTAATTACTGTAGATACTTTCAGTGATGTTGCTGTCTTTCAGAGGGTTGATGCAGGTGTTTCTAGCTCTTTTGGTTTGTCGCTGTATGCACTAATAACTGCTCATTGTAAAAGCTTGTGTGTTCAGAGAAATTTTCTCCAAAGTGTTACAAATAGTGAGATTATACCTAGATTTCAAACAAGGAGTCCCTCTATAATGTAAATCTATAGGATATAGTGACAGACTGTGCTCAAATAACTGAATCGAAAGTATTCTTAAGATGTCTGCAAATATCCCTCACTCTTAAATGTATCTAAGTTCCCTTTTTTGATGGCAAAAATGGTCTTTGTATTCTAATTGCTTGCTTATCCATACATAAGTATCTGAAAGCTAGTTTAGCCTTGGTTTGTATTAAGGTAGGCCATGATTTTTCTACATATATTTCGCATGATGTTTTTATAGATTCTTAAAGATACATGGGTGGATGGCAGCCTCTCACTAGGCTGTTGCAGAATCGTATGATGTGTGTGAATCTCAGGGCTTTATAACACTTGTTTTAAGAGTCCTGATGTTCCCACATTTCCTGCATCATTGTGTTCAGAGTTTGTTGTGTTATTGTCTATACCTTTTGTTACTCTAAAATATTAGAAGGAAATTCAGTGAAGGGACCTACCTAGATTGCTTTTATTCCTGTGCAATGTGAGTGGATTTCTTTTCTTTTAAAGAAATGTGCTTGAATATTGTAAAAACAGCAGAGAGAAATCAGCTAAGAAAAATCAGTCTCGGCAGTGGTCAAATCTGACCCTGGGCAAAGCTGCTGTAGGTGAAATAAGAGTGAACCTGCCTGCTTTTCAATGAAGACCTGGTATTTTCAAAGCTCAAAGGCTCTTTCATGTGTAAAGCTTGTCTATTAAAATACATTTCTGAAGAATAATATGAATCATACATGGTGTGGTATCCAAATATGATGATATGTGGAAAAGAGAGATGGCAAAAATATGAACTGAGTACTTGAATAACTCAGAACTAAACTAACGACGAGTAGTTTTAAACCTTTGTCCCGCACCTCTTCTGTTAAGCGTAGCAGCTAAGATAGGACTAGAATCTTAGCACCTACCATAGGAAATAAAGAAATAGATAGTGTCACTAATGACCAGTTGAATTGCCATTTTAAAAGCTTCAGCTTCTAAAAGTAAGCTAAGAGATTCAGCAGGTTTTATTACCATAGTGTAAACTGCTTCTTAAGGAGCTCTCACCAGATGAAGCTTTGAGATAGGTGGAGACTTTCTACCAGAGGCAATTTTAAAAAACAGCCTTAATGTTTTTGTGACACTTTTTCCTTATTCACACATGGCTTAGGAGGGAGGAAAAAAACCCCACCATTGCCTGTGCCAGAGAAGACATTATCTTTAGCTGACAGTTGTGTGAACACTTTCGTTGCTCTACCAGTACTATTGAAGAGAATGCTTGTTGTGTTTGTTTCAGAGAAAGTAATAGTAGAGTGTGAAGTACATTATGCATCTAAAAGCTGCTGCATGAACTGCAGACTGGTAAGTGGCAAGAAGTTTTCCTCAGGCTGCGGCAACCTCTCTGTCTCCAGGCATTGGAAGAGGGCATTTCTAGCTGGAGGCTGCAGAGTCTCTAGGTACTGACAGAGACTGGCCTCATCAACCACTGTCTGCTGTCTTGCACTACAAATGCCTTTCCAGTGCGTAGGATTTAATGGTGAAATGGCTTTTCATTCTCGAAAGTAAAACTATGGAAGTGTGAGAGAATGAATGTAGACTATTCATGATAAGAAGCCTTCTGAGCTGTTCAAGTCTTGCTTGACTTAAGTAGGCTTTTGACAGCTCCGCAGTAGAGATTGTGGGGTGGCTTGCTTGCTTGTTCCTTTATTTGGCTATTGGACGTGCCATTGTACCGGAATGAGGTTTTGCCTCTATTTTCCAAGGCCATTGATTTATTAGTTTTATTACCTAATTATGTCATAGGCCTTGGCTTTGAAAAGATTTTTCCCTATCATAAGTCCTCTAAAATTTTCCAATAGATCATGCAAACACAAGTTGTTTTGATATATATCTGTTTTAGTGTTGTGAAATTTATTTTATTTGGTACTATCCTGGTTAAATCCAACACATTGCTCTTGAGATTGAAGTTGCAGCATTGAGGTGTCTACTGTGACTTGTACCCCAGAACTGGGGAGGCAGGAGGAGGCAGCAAACTGTTGCGAGCCCTTATTATTCCCTTGCTCGGTACCTGGCTTGGAAGCCAAAGCAGGGCCCTTTCCCAGGCAGTGGGAAACCTACCTGGGAAAGGCAGGTTTCCTCCTATCTCCGTGCTCACTGGTAGAGCTCAGATAACCAGTTCCAGCGACCACGGCAGTTCTGCAGATCACCACCACTGAGCTGTGCAATAAGCATTCAGAAACTAAATCCAAACAGATCTTTCAGAAGTTGGACCCACCTGTAAAAACTGCAAGTGATTTTTGTACTAATAAGCTCTTGATTTCTTTTGTGCAGAAATCTCTTTGCTTTTCAATCCTGTGTTTGACTTAAGCTCTAATTTTTTGGTTTTGTTTTGCCCTCTGCCACTTCAAAACCTTCTCACTTTCTAACCTCTAAGCTCACATACAGAGGTGAGTTCAGCAGCTTTGGTTTTCTTTGCTAAACTGAGCTCTTTAAGGCTTGCTTGCCTGTGTCTTCATCTTTGTCTTCCTCTTAACTGTTAGTTAATATTTTGATAATCTTTAAGGCTAGTATTAAAGCGTGGGAGGCCAAAAATAAAGCTTGATTATACAAGATTTTAGATTAAAAATACATGAAATATCAGTAGGGTAGAATGAACTATTTCTTGAAACTCCAAGTCTGTGAAAATCTTTGTCAGAAGTTAAAATTGCCATGTTAACTCCACTACAAGAGCTAGGAAAATAAAACTGCCCTTGACCTGAAGGTGGCAGCACAACACAACAAGTTGCCATCTCTTGGCCCGTGCAAAATGCTCGGGAAGGGATACGTAGGTAATGCTGCATTTAACTTTCTTATTTAAAAAGTGCCAGTTTCACATAGTTCCTGCTGAAAAAAGAACAATTTCTTTCTTAAAGCTTTCTTTTAAAAAGTGCAGGTCTGAGTGAATAGAAAGACTCTTGCCAAATTATGTTTAGTTTGTTGGATAGAGCTGTGCTCAGCTCTATTTGTGTTCTTAAAAGTAAAAATGAAGTGGCTCACAATAAAAAGACTATAGAAAATGACTTAGTTCTCATAACCAACAGTTCATCATTGAAGAAACAATAGCACATTTTCATCTGT